TGAGGCTCAGCCAAGAAGATTGCTTGAGGCTAGGAGTTCAAGACCAGCCTGGGTGACATAGTTATCTAGCTTGTAACTTTAACACCTAATTGACTAGAAAAGGCTAAGAAGACTTTAAAGGTATCAACAAATCAGTGTCTGTGATAGCCAGCCTCTGTTAATTGAAGCAAAAATTTAGTTCCCTGTCCCTAAGGAAGCTGTGGTCTCACAAGGAGTCAAGTAACATATTTTGGTAATTGTCTAATGTATGTGATAGAGAGGAACAGGTGAACTTAATTCTGTGTGGGAGGAGGTAACATTTGGGACTGAGATTAGAAAAGTGAGTTGGATGTACAAGAGAAGAGGAAATTGTGTAAGTAAAGATGCAGTGGAAGCTAGGTGCCATGACTTTTGCCTGTAATTTTAGTGACTCAAGAGGTTCAGGCAGGGGGATTGCTGGCAGCCGGGAGTTTGAGACCAGCCTGGGCAATATAGGGAAACCCTATCTCTTAAAAAAAAAATAATAATAATGATTTGAAAAACCCTGGATGTGTTTGGGAACCACATAAAATAGGGCTCATTATCTCCAGAGCATAAGATACACAGGAAAGGGAGAATGGTGGAGTGTGGGAATAAAATCCCTGTATTAGCCAGGGAGACTAATCTGGGGTCCCTCAAATTTCTGGCTTGTTTAGGGTAATGGACTGCTGTTCACTGAGATACAAAGATGGTAAAAGGGGACATTAGCTTGAGAGGTTGATGAATTCAGTTTTAGATGTTGCATTCAAGGCAAGGGACTGTCTATATCTAGGGCAGTGTTTTTCAACCATTTTTATCTCACAGCACATTTGAACCTATTGTTAAACTTCTGTGGCACACCTAAATAAAAAAAAGTAAAAAAAAAGAATATTCTTAATTGTGCTTTGAACTTCTTTCAAAAAGTTCAGTTAATGATCTTTAAAATTTTTTGCTGCACCTAAGATCCTCTCATAGCACACTGGTTAAAAATCACTGATCTAGGTGAAAATGTCAAGTAGAAACTAGGATGATACATGGTTCTGGGTTGCAGGAGAGAATATTAGACTGGAAATTCAGATACAGTTATCATCAGTGCCCTGAGAGGTGTTGATAGTAAGGGTGTAGGAAGAAAGGCCAATGAGTGAAAAGAGGCTTGTGCAGGTGGCATCCACATTTGCAGGGTTTGTGGAAGATGATGGCCTTGCAAAGGACCCAGAGATAAGAGGAGACTCATTAAAAAAATATTTAAGTAAAAACCTGAAACTTAATGTCTTTAATAGTGTTATTTAGAAATTAAACAAACAAACATAACTACTAAAAATCTACTTCACCATAATTTAAAGTATGTTTATTCAGATTGCATGGGGGGCCACATGCTTGTTTTCTTGATGAAATAAGGATGTGTGGCATTTAGGTGGGAGCAGGCAGATGATAAATTGAAGGCTGAGAGGTGTTGGAGCTGATGATAGACTGTCAGGCATGTTCAGGTTCCATCCATAGGGAACACAGATGAAACTATTAAATAATAAGGTTGATGAACCTTTTTTTTTTTTCCCCACTCACAGGCCTAAATGTGTAAATGGAGACAGTGGTTTAATTAATATGTAATTATAAAATTGAAAGACTACTGCTTTGGAAGTACCAAGGAGGTGGTGGTGATGAGTCATTTTAGAGTTGTAGGTGTGGGGTGGGGTGTAAGGGTTTAAAAATGTGACTAAAACTGGATCTCTGTATCAGTTCATGGACCAGAGAATAAATTTAGAAGGGTCCAAGATTTTCATGCAAAATATTATTATTATTATTTTTTTTTTTTTTTGAGACAGAGCCTCAAGCTGTCCCCCTGGGTAGAGTGCCGTGGCATTACAGCTCACAGCAACCTCCAACT